AGCAGATATAGAAACTTGCACAAATTAATAAACTTTTTTCTTTGCAAGAAATTTATGCCGAACTTGGGTATTCACTGTCCTCCTGAGGAGGCCTGTCTCCTCAAACATGTCTTAAAAAAGAATGAAATTGAGGACGGGTACGCCATGAAGTGGTTAATCAGACCTTTTCTTACTGGGCTGTGAAAAGGCTTCAGTGGCCACTCTACATATAGTATGTTGCTCTACGAATGCCTGCCTGATAAGTCGAGAGAGCAACCCTAAACAAGTTCATCGCAGAGACCTCAGGGAATATTGGTCTCATTTTAGATTGCAAACACCCGGTCACTCAGACTGGGTCTCCGCCTTCCTCGGGCACTAATAATGCCTGAGGGCGGTCATCAGAGCTTCGGTCTAGAGCAAGCCCCAGTTACCGAAACCAGCTTCACGCTCAAGCGGAAACCCACAACTCATCATCGTGGACAAGGGTGTTCCGAGATCGCGGATGCGTCTCGGCGATTGCAGAGAAAAGATTTATTTTCTGCCAAACCGTACAGACAATATTTCAGAGAGGTACATTTCAGCTGAAGAACCGCGAAACTTCCAGAGATAATACAACACCTATTGTCAAAACCAATCACAAACTATGCACCAAATGCTTTCTGTTGGCTTATCCCACCACAGGAACACACAGGACAGGTATCTTTCCTAACAAATAAACAAAACCACTTGCTATCACGTATGCGAAAACCAGTACAACACATCATATTTTACGTCTTTCAAGTATCGGCCTTAACTCGGCCTGATAAGACCGTGTCATGGCACTGCAACATCTGGGAACGCCACTGTGAGCCGCACTTTTTTATTAACCACTACCAAAAAAGGACACGACCAGTGACGCAGGAAATCTGCTTCGCCGTGTGTTTCGATTTGAGACTCAAGATAACTGAGCAATGTTTGCCTAAACTGCGCTAAAAGCGGCCACTGCAGCCGCAAGCGTTGCCGACGGATACATGCTCTGCAGTGATTCCGCCAAAGGACGTATTCGCCCGCGGCGATTACCAGCCTCCCGATGGCGCCCCGTGGGCACCGGCCTCTTGTGTAGTAGTGTGCGATCCGTAATCCTGGCATACACCTGTGGATAACCCTCCAAAAGGTCTTCGCTACTACACACATTGCAACGGCATGAGCTGCAGTTTCGTTACCACCGCAGTTAGGGCACCTAGCGTACTGTACTAGCCCCCACCTCTGTAAACAATCTAGGGTCGGCAAAATTCGCCACGCTCGTTGCCATTGAACATCTGCTACCGGTTCGGGTAGCCTGCCTGAGGTTAGCTTTACCCAGGGGAACGTTGGTGGCGGGCTACTTTGTGACGATCAGGCAGACACCAAAAGTTCGCACATCCGTGCTGGTGACACTTCTCTAGGTTCGAGGTCAGGATCCACAGTTGCGAGTTCCCGAAACAGGGCTACGAGTGCTTTGTAGTAGGGCGGGGGGCTTTCCGCAATTGGGCACAGATTTCCTAGTGCTCGAGGAACCAGAACTCTATGCAGTGGACCCAAAAAAACATGGCAAGTGGCCTTGCGGGTGCCCCAATGTCGTCTAACACTCTTAACAGTGTCTTCAGTGCGAGTAGCTGTGACGTCGTTGCCAGGACACGGGAGACCAAAGCCTCCGAGACCCCGGGGTAGATGTAGTGAGTCTCTACGGAGCTGCTCTGTGCTTCCGTCCCAAAAAAAGGAAAACACGGCTCGGCTGAGAACCTGCACCACCGGTGCCGGCGGCAAAACCAACCGCGCTACATAAAAGAAGCGAGCAGGAAAAACGCACTTGATAAGATACGCCTTTTCGGCGAACGAAAACTTGCATCTTATCGCCTTCTGTGTCGAGTCAGTTACTTCGTCGATTAACTGGTTCCAAACTTCTGCCGCTACTCCCGTACGCTCAAAAATAACGCCGAGAATTTTCATGTGTTCTTCTAATTTTAAGTTTCTAGGCAGGCTAACCTTCCGCGGATCGCCAAGCACTAGGGCGCTACTTTTGTTCATGTTTAGTTTAGCACCAGAGAGCCGGCTGTATTCTTCAAACTGCCTCAAGACATGGATCATACTTTTCCCATCGCGGATAAAAACCATCACGTCGTCTGCATAAGCAGAAACTTTCACTGTCGTGGAACCCGGCAAGGGGAGACCGCGTATTTTTGAATCGGCCAAGATCAACCGAATAAACGGGTCAATACACATGACAAATAGCATAGGGCTCAAAGCGCACCCTTGCCGTACCTCTCTGGTTACCCGTATCCTATCCTTGACTACACCATTGATGACCAGGGTACTCGTCATGCTGCCGTACATGCTACGAAACAGATCAATGACGCCCGACTGAAAACCGTACATACGTAGCGCTGGGAAAAGATACTCGTGTCGGACAGGGTCAAAAGCGTGTCGAGCGAAACGCAGAGCCCCGGTATTTTTGTGTGCTGCATGTAGGCCAACAGATCGCGGGTAAGCGTTAATGCGTTAAAGATATTTCTCCCGATGACAGAGCGTGTTTGTTGACTGGAAATTATTGCCGGCCACCAGTGCTTAAGTCTGCTCACCAGAAGTGCAGCAAGTATTTTATAGTCAGCATTTAATACCGTGATCGATCGCCAAGCCCCGGGTTCTCGGTGATCTTTGCCTTCCTTGGGGATCAAAACTAGCTTACCCTCTGCCAATGACTCTGGAAACTTATCATTGTTTAAAACGCGGTTAATCATCGTTACGAGAGCTGTGCCGATTTCCCCCAAGAATTCCTTATAAAATTCTGTTGGTAAGCCATCCGGACCAGTGGCTGAGCCCAACTTCATCGCGCGTAAAGTTATGAATACTTCCGCTGCCGAAGCTGCCTTTAACAGGTTGACGCTCGCCTCCGCAGGCAGTTTCGACACTACGGCGCACAGGCGTTCCAATTCCTTGATTAACGCATCCGTGCTGGCCTCCGGATCGCCCACGGTGAACAGGCGTATGAAGTACACCGAAAACCGCGTCTCTATGTCTGCGATATTTTCGGACACGAATCCATCTGGCATGCGGACCGACGTAACGTACTTGCTGGAGCTATCCTGTGTGCGCCGCGTACGCAAAAAGCGGGTAAGCTCTGGGGCGTCTCGCAAAACTGAGTCCTGCGCATATGTGATCGCCTTTTGCGTGCTCCTCAAAAAAGTTCGATCGTATCTGGTCCTCAAGACATCTAAATACTCCCTCGTGGTAGGGGTCAGGGGGGCACCTGCCTTGACAATCCTCATTCTTCGCAGGGTTTCATTGAGCTTACATGCGAGTCTCAGTCTCACGTTACGCCCACTTTCTCTCGCCCAGTGCTGCCACTGCGATTTTAGGTTGTCCCATTCCTGGGAGGGGTCCTTCGTGTTAACTAGTGGACTACTAATCCCTGCTCTCAGGATTTCTTTGGCGTCGTCATCCGCCAGTACGGCCAGGTCCAATTTCCAAAAACGCGTCCCCTCCAGCCGACGCTCTGGCAGGGCCATGGATAGGACCACGTGAAAGTGGTCCGATATACGCCCCGCTTCGTCCGGAAACGAGTGCACTGTCACATCAGAAACCAACGGCACTAAGGCATCGCTAACATAGAATCAATCCAGTCTAGTTTCGAAAACCCCCCTATTCCATGTCGGGATGAAAGTTTCGCCCTTCAGTAAAACCCACGCATCCTGAAGACCGAAGTCTCGGATTAAACTAGCGAGTTCTCGCGCATGAGTTATACCCCTGCCCTGACCGGGGCTCCGAACATCGCGCACACTATCTAAGACACAATTGAAATCACCGCAAAGGACAGTGACGTAATCATCGAGAAAGTACGGGGTCAATGAGCGAAAAAACCATTCGTACAACTTCTCCGAGCGGGAGCATAAACAGCCATAAAGCGCATGCGCAGGCCACCAACCACACATTTCAACATCAGTGCGCGCCCGTCGCTATCTACCGTGTGAAACACGGATGTAAAAGGGGAAGGGTTCACTATCACTGCCCAGACCCCGCTGCTACATGCGGATGCCAGGGAAAAAAAACATGGAAGATCAACTCGCCTTTGAAAGGCAGCTACCTCTGAAGAAGAAAAAACTTGAGGTGATTAAAGGTGGGAAGTGGACCCGAAGCGCAAGCCGTAAGAAAGTGTGCATGTGCCACCTCTCGTTTAGTACTTTGAATGTCCGCTGGTTTCGGTGCTTCTATATGGGGAATATATGATGAAAAGATGCGAGATGGTGGTACTTGGAGTGTTGAGTAGATGGACGAACGGACACATAGACAGATGCATGGATGGACACATGAACGGACGCAGGGCGGCTGCATGGACGAACGCAGGGACGGACGCACGAACAGATGCACGCACGGACGGGCTGATGGACGCATGGACGGTCACACTGACTGACGCATGGACGGACGGAAGCAAGAACGAATGGACGGACGAATTCTTCACCCCACTCTCCATCATTCACTCCGTGGATATGCTGCCATTTTTTTTCTTTCCTTTATTGAACTACGCTACACACCCATGCGTCCACAAATGGAATACAAGTACAGTACATCTAACCCACACCAATGCGCCTCTCTGTCCGAAACGAAATGTAGAAAGGCAACTCTTTCTAATCATACTTAACTGTTTTCTATTGTAAGACTATAAATGTCCTTAGCAGCACATGATGTAGAGCAGATATAGAAAATTGCACAAATTAATAAAATTTCTTTGCAAAAAATTTATGCCAAACTTGGGTATTCATTGTCCTCCTGAGGAGGCCTGCCTTCTCAAACATGTCTTAAAAAAGAATGAAATTGAGGACGGGTACGCCATCAAGTGATTAATCAGACCCTTTCTTACTGAGTTTGTGAAAAGGCTTCAGTGGCCACTCTACATATAGTATGTTGCTCTACGAATGCCTGCCTGATAAGTCGAGAGAGCAACCCTAAACAAGTTCATCGCAGAGACCTCAGGGAATATTGGTCTCATTTTAGATTGCAAACACCCGGTCACTCAGACTGGGTCTCCGCCTTCCTCGGGCACTAATAATGCCTGAGGGCGGTCATCAGAGCTTCGGTCTAGAGCAAGCCCCAGTTACCGAAACCAGCTTCACGCTCAAGCGGAAACCCACAACTCATCATCGTGGACAAGGGTGTTCCGAGATCGCGGATGCGTCTCGGCGATCGCACTATAGAAATGATCCTATGAAGCACGCCCTATCGGAAAAAAACGAATGGTGGGCATGGTGGAAACCACCACCCACCATTATAGTGGATTAATGTAGTGGGTGAATGGTGGGAAACGCCCACCATGGCGCATGGTGGGTATGGTGGGTGCTGCAGTGCCGGCAACACTTGAGCGCAAAATCACGTCAGAATCACCGTGACGAGCTGCCACAAAAAATAAAAAAGAATTCTATAAAAATGGTATAAAAAACACCCGTCCCGTAAAAAAAAAAAAAAACAAGGCGCCACGGAGGATCGAACGTGCAACTTGCGGATTCCCATTCGAAGACGCTAACCACTGCGCCACCGTGACGTTGATTGCGTGTTAAATACTTAGTTGCCATACAAACTTAATGTTCAACTTAGTTATGTTTGTCGTGTACGCAACATAGACAAGATCTACACCTGCTACTAAATATTGCACATTTATTAAACACAAGCAACTGCGGCCTGTAACGATTGCCACTATGTTAATGGCACTAGTGCTATTTTTTTTTACAATTCACAACTTCAAGAAAAAAAAACCAAGTGGACTGGGGAGCAGCAACAGTTTACCGGCGGGGTCTGCCAAGTTTAATATCCGTTTCGCGCTCGTTCTGAAGGGCGACATCTGCTCACGCTTTATGACGCTTCTAGGCTCATTCCATAGATACGCCCGCCTAATTTATTTGATTGAGTATTGGGATGCTTTTCGCGCAAGGTAGAGGGCGGTCGCGCCAGCGCAATGCTGTAGCTCTTTCGCTAAAGCAACAACTAAATAACGGCTTGGCCAAAACGAATGCAGTGTGCCGGAAACATTACGCTATCATATTGGTTCACCAAGCACACGAATTGCCACGTCTGAGTTCTCGTACAAAAGCTAGAGAAGTGCCGGCGAGTGTGACCGGCGGCTGTCGGTGAGAAGACACTTAATTACGTTCACTGGGAGTGCTTTAATCGCGTCGCATCGATGTTTGTTGCTTCTTGAGCGGACACCATACACAATGAAAAACGCTTCATTTAGGTTAATTGATTGCGCTGTATTGTCATACTTAATCGTCGTAATCAATTATTCTGAAACCCGGAAGCACGGATAACACAATTGTACGGGCTCGGTCAGTAGGCCTAACCTTTGGTGGAAATCATGGTGGTAGAACATGTAGTGTACAGATCCCAGCTTTGTACACTATATAAATTGCACGCCATTATAAGCCCACCCATCATCTGCTTACTGCTTCCCAGCATTATCGCGATGGTGGGCACAGCTTCTCAGCTTGGTACACCATGTGGCCCACCATAACAAGCAGCACCCATCATCTGCTTAGTGCTTCCCAGCATTATCGCAATGGAGGGAAGAGTTTCTCAACTTGGTACACCATGTAGCCCACCATAATAGGCACCACCCACCATATGCTTAGGGCTTCCCAGCATTATCGCAATGGTGGACAGAGTGTCCCATTATTGCCCACTATCTAGCCTCTGCTTTCCACCATCATTTCAACTTTACCCATCATCTGTACACCATACCACCCATATGTCCCAGCATAACCACCATATTTTCCACTACGTCCCACCATAGCCATCATAATTTCCACTATGCCCACTATTATTTCCACCATGCCCACTATTATTTCCACTACTCCCACCATGTTTTCCAGTATCCACCATGGCAATTTTTCCGATAGGGCGATCTTGGTGAGGCAGGGGCCAACGACCCTATCATACTTTTAATGACCACGTTAAAAAAGCAAGCCACGTAAGCCAATCAGTGCTATATTTCTTGTACACATGGGCAAAAATAAACTAGAGCGTCAAGATATCCGCTCAAAAGCATTAAAAAGCTCGACCTTTCATTGTGAAATAGTGTTTTCTTTAGCGAAAACATCCAATAGGTCTTTATTTTTATATGGGAAGTGAGCTGGGCTGCGCGAGGATGGATGGATGGATGAATATGGCTGTACCCTTTAGATCGGGCGGTGGCTAGCGCCACCAAGCCGTAATACCTAATGAACCAAAAACTATATTTATTTATTTTTTTTCTTAAAAAGTGAGTTTGAGGATTCGTACTTTGCAGTGAAGAGTTTAATTTTCACTCGTGCCTCGACTTTGGCCACCAATTAGATAACCTCCTTCTAGTTAAGTCTACCCGCTTAAAGTCTATTTTGCCCTCCCGGTCCCTAAACCCCAGTGCTTTGAAAAACGCAGCGCCATCATCCTGAACTATAGGGTGAAGCCCTTTACAGAACATTATCAAGTGTTCGGCAGTTTCTTCTTCCTCTCCACACGCACTGCATACTGTGTCTACTCCTTCGTATTTGGCCCGATATGTCTTGGTTCGCAGTACTCCCGTCCGGGCCTCAAACAGTAGAGAACTACCCCGAGTATTATCATAGATCCTTTCCCTGGCAATTTCCTGCTTAAAGGTTCGATAGGTCTCTAGTGCGGACTTCTTAATCATGCCCATTCTCCACATGTCAGTCTCCGTTTCCTTCACTTTCTTCTTAACCAATAGTTATTTTTGGTTTGGCCACCTGCTGTTTTCTAAGTATTTACCAGTCAACTTCCTGGTTCGCTTCCTCCATTTTGTATCAACATTCTTCATGTACAAGTAGCTGAAAACCTTCCTAGCCCAACGCTCTTCCCCCATTTCTCTCAATCGTTTCTCAAATTTTATCTTGCTGCTAGCTTCCCTGCCCTCAAATGATGTCCATCCCATATCACCTTGTACTCCCTGATTTGGTGTATTCCCGTGAGCTCCTAAAGCAAGCCTACCTATTCCACGTTGCTTAATTTCTAATCTTGCTTGAACTTCTGATCTCATGCACAAGACCGCATTGCCGAACGTCAGCCCAGGAACCATGACCCCTTTCCATATTCCTCTCACAACATCATACCTATTGTAATTCCACAGTGCCCTATTTTTCATGACTGCGAGCATTTGCGAGGCAAGCGCCACCTGGCGTCGCAAACGCAAGTTATTCCGAAAAAAAATGTAAATACCAGCCAGAGTTGCTTAGTTTGTGGTATTCTTACTAAAAATGGCTGGTTTTATTATGTTTAGCGGGTGACATTGTTGCACTGCGGGGGCGGGGGGGGGGGGGGGGGCTTCTCGGCGGTTTTGAAGATATGCTAGCTTATTTTGCGGAGGAATGAACGAAGTGAATTTGAAAAGAGGAAAAGGAAGAAATAAGCGTAGTGCCGTTACTGCCTCTCTCAATGGAGGGCACCTCCACAGTTCTACGCAGGGAATGGGGGAATGGGAATTGAAGAGACAGAAGAAAAGTGGTTAGACAAGGTTAGACATGACATTCGTGTCGCATCACGTCGCGCGCGTCCGAACCACCGCGATGATCCGCAACCATAAGGAAAAGCCGCCGAGAGGCCGGGGAAATAAGTCACCGAAAAAGAAGACGATGAGCCGAAGAGAAACATGAAATAACTGGGGAAACACTCAGATAAGCACGTAGCACGAGAAAAAAACATAAATGTTTCAGTTCAACAAGAGAAATGAAAAAAGTTCAGTTGAACTCACAGATTAGGGTGCTGTTGGCCTCGATCAATTAGTCCAGCGAGTAAAGCTCTACCTTCTACCCACTCCCTCTGTTCCCTTGAGCAGAGCTCTCTCAGATGCGTAGTGGTTGTTGCTATAGAAGGGAGTGGAAGGTTGGTTGCATTGTGTCAGTATTGTCTTGTCGTAGCTGCTGCTGCTTGTAAAGGATGGAGACCAGCGCCTTTCGATACGTTGCAACAACTCGACTGTATGTACAGGAACTTATGTACATGTTTACAAGACTCCTTCATCATTGGAACCGTCGCATGTTGCCTCGGCATAGCCGATAGTGCAGCGCACTCTTTGCTGAGACCAGAACGACCCCGAGGAAACGGGAGCCAGGTTTTAACCCCTCGGTTGCCCCCCCCCCCTCAATTCTCCTCACGGCCAACCAAAACAATTCACTCCATTTATTGGACAGACTAAACACATTTGTTGTCATCCCCTCCTCTCGCTCTCTTATTCAAGCACTTGACCTCTCGGTCGGAGAGAAAGAGACGAAGGACCGGCCTGCACACTACTCTCCGCGAACTGTGCGAACGCACACAATGGTGGCGCCCTTCGGCTGGGGGGGCCCCTGCCATTACTGCGAAATAACTACGCTGTCCAGCGTGACAGCCGCCCCGCGGACTCTAATCCTGATGGATGGATGCCGATACACCGGCTGTCCTCACGTCGCCCACCAGTCCTTCGTTAGCCGGGGACCACCTAGCTGGTTGTCAAAAGCGGCGACCGACCACGGTCTTCTTGCCAGAACGGGCGTCCTTACGCCGAGATTATGGCTCTTTGGGAAGCGCGCTCTTTTGCGACAAAGAAGACTCACCCATCTGGCCTGCGACGCCAGACCTTACACAGCGGGTGTACAGAAAACTGGCCAGGGCGCATAGCCCAAGCACGGGGAAAGAAAAGAAGAGAAAAAAAAATAGAAGAAAAAAAACGTTTAGTTCAGTCAAAAAGGGAAAAAGAAAGAAAGAAAAAAGGGAAAATAAGGGGGGGAAATAGAAAGAAAGTTTAGCTCAACACACTGATGAGAGTCCCGATGAACTCGATGGGGTGATCCAGTGGCCTTGATTCGCCGGAACGATCGCTTCATGCGCAGCGATAGCCGAAACACACCGACCACGAACCGGAGAATCAGGCGGCAGGAACACAATCACAGCGCGGATAACAGCAACAAGTGCAGTGATCACCGCGTCCTTCGGATCTGTCTTGGAGGTGGGGCTATCCCGAGTATGGGGCAATTGGGCACTCGTGCCTGCTGGAGGAGCACTGGTAGGAGGGCGAGGAGGAGACGCCAACGCTGAGAGATCACCAGAGGCGACATCATCCCGAAAGGAGCGGCCCTGTAGGATTGCTGCGCTGCCTCGCTTGTCGATGTTGTTGACAGCGGCCCCGGCCTTCTCCGGCGCGTCACGGGGCCACCCGAGGAGGCGATGATGACGGCGGCCTTGCGCTGAATCTACCA